GTGCGGCAGATGCAACAAAAGAGCGATTGTGTGTCAGCCATGCTTCGTGGACGACGCCAGCAAACCGCCTCTGGAAATTTTTCGCTTTCGGGGAGATGGTTAGACTTTACAGCAAAAAAGCTTTGAACAAGGAAGAATAGTTTTTGTTTTATACGTAAGCGATCATTAAGTTGATAAATGATTGTTAAATTTAGTTGTTATTCCGACTGAAGCTTAAACTTATAAAAATCCTAGAGAATAATTATTTTGAATATATAAGCCTGTGAATGCAAAAAGTTACAAGCGTGTTGAGTTTATTCGAGTAAGAAAGATTCAGCATGAAAGAATTCTAAGACAGCATTGCAAGTCAAGTAATTTTGGAGAACGACTTCAAATAATACCTGAGAGCAACCGAACAATTTCACAAAAACACTTCTATAACAAAAAATGAATAAAAAATATAAACTCCAACGACGGCAGGCGAGTACACCAAGTACTTTCAATTTCTGAGGAAAAATCATACAAAATACGACTTAAACTTTACAAAGGCACTATGATATTAGTGTGGGACATATATTCTTGCCGAACTATGTACCGTCACAGGCACTATTTTCCTCAAGAACTTCGCTTTCGCAAGAATTGCTCACAGTTTTAACCGGACACTCGTTACGCCGGATACAAGGAGCAAGTTTTAATCTTGTAATCCACATCAAAGGGAGACAAAACTGCGTATTTCTATGAGTTCCAAACTTGAACTGCGCTTTTTTTTTCATGAAGGAAACACAAGACTTGGAACAATGAGTTGCAGTCTGTGGATGGCGAGGAGCGATACAGTTCAGACACATCGATGTACGGAGCAAGGGGAGAGGCGGTGCAGTGGATGACAAAAAATGATTGAATCGTCGTTATGCATGAATATAAAAAAATACAGTCCACGATGTACTGCTGTCCGACCAATGAGTTTTGCGAGCTTAAGCTTTTAGCATTCGATACGCTGAGCCGGTCGTCGAGATTGTCAGGGATGCAAGACTGCATTGACAGAACGTAGTGGCAGGGCGCAGTGATAGGATGCGATGGAAGGTCAAAGTTGTTTGAGATATAAGTGGCAAAATGCAGTGGCAAAAAGCAATAGCATTACTCATATGACCCTCCGCAGGGTCCCTGACGCATTGACATGGGCGACGTTGCATGACGCATCGTAGCAACTGCTGTGGCTCGGATGCCAAAGAATGGATGAGGGCGTCGCAATGTTGCTACAGCATGGATGCAGTAGTGTAAAATCATGGGCTTCGTAGGAGTAGTGTCTTTGAGGGTAGTATTGTTGGCAGAGGTGGTAGACACAATGACAGAGGTGATGGCATGATGGCATGAATGGTAGACGCAATGGTTGAGGTGCAGATAGAGGGTGTGGAGGAGATAGTTGAGGCGCAGGTAGAGGGTGTGGAGGAGATGGTTGAGGCGCAGGTAGATGGTGTGGAGGAGATGGTTGAGGCGCAGGTAGAGGGTGTGGAGGAATGTGGAGGAGATGGTTGAGGTGCAGGTAGAGGGTGTGGAGGAGATGGTTGAGGCGCAGGTAGAGGGTGTGGAGGAGATGGTTGTGGCCCAGGTAGAGGGTGTGGACTGTGGAGGCGAAGGCAGAAAACTGAAGGAGCTGAGGACGACAGCCTCAGCAGCAACTATATGTGCCAGCTCAAGCAACGAACGTGTGGCTTCTTATCATTTCTAGAAGGAAGCAAATGTCTAAAATAACTTTACCGCCTTTGGAATATATGCGATCGAATTCAAAATAGCCTAGTTAGTGATATCTTTTTATGATGTTATTGAGTAGAGGGAAATTGAAACCTTCAAAATGAAGACATGCCGTGAAGACAGAATTTAATTGAGGTCCTGGGCTGGCAATAATTATGAGGTTACTTGTCAATCCTGAGCAGTAAAATCGACGAATTCTTAAGCACTGTAGCTGCGCTATTTCTCCGTCATTTGTTTACCAGGTTCACGCTGGCATTGTGAAGAGTCGGCTGCGTTGAGTCCCGGTTATTTTATTCGCTCAGCGGTTGCGGTTGTGGTGGCCAAGGCTTCGTAACGTGTATTCAGTTGAATGTCGTTAATTTTTTAGCCTCAACTACCTGTTTTATGTCTATTCATTTGTTGCAACCATTGTACCTCTCACGATTTCTTTTTGAGTGGCGGGTGGGAGGGGGCTTTCTATTTTAAGTCTACCTACGTACCCGGACCTCCTCTGAATGAGAAGAAAGGGTGTCTAGTTTTCTCCATTGGTGAATGCAACGGTGATCATCGCTGAATTTCTGGATTGGACACTGGCAGCCCAAAACTTCGTCAAACCATGACTGTGAAGCGGATGCGCTTAGGTCTACTATGTCATTGTGACACACTTCTCTCGACGGGCATGTTGCGAACCTTCATGGACTAGAAGAGATTACGTAGGAGACGCCAGAGCGGCCAAGCATGACCATTGTATTTGTTTAACATTAGGCTATTTGTGTTGCTTGTTTTGTGATTGTACTGGTAATAAGATTATTACTTTTGTGAGCGGGTCACCTAATAGACTTTATTTTAGCTACGCAATAAAATCTTGCAAGTCTCAACTCTGAACGAATCAGGTTTTAATCCATTTTCACTATCGCCAACCTAATAGACGGCGATAGCCTATATATGTAGATAGCTCTCCCGCAACAGCACGATCTAAACTCGGTTGAGAAAATAAATTTAAAATTGAGAAAGTTTAAGACGGCCAAAAAATCAAAGTAAGGTAGAAAAATTCAAAATTTTAAATTATATATGATGTAGTGCGTTCCAACTGAACTAGTTTCTAAGCAATGTACTATATATGCTAATTAGTGACTACAGTTTAAGGCAAATCCTTAATTTTCTGTGATTGAGAGATGAATAATAACAAAACAGACATTTCTCGTGCGTTGGTAGGGTAATATTTGATCTACAAGCCTATCGATTTGTAACGTCAATTTTAATACGAAACCAAAATGGCAGGATCGAGGCTGCGACTGGATTTAATATTAGTTGATCCCATTCCAGCTCTTTAATGTCGGTTATAAAATGTCTTCAATGAACAATTCGCCATGTATGTGGAAGTAGGACGCTGCTGCTTGGTATTCATCGCATAGTCAATATTCCTGCGAGTTTAATATCAATTATCGGCTGAGAGCGGAGCAGTTGCTGGAGATCAAAGCGAAGTGACTGTCCGTCAAGCCTTGTAAATGTTAAAGGAAGTTTTCGTAAAATTTTAACTCATGAAGTGTTAGGGATGCTGAGATTTGTTCACAACTAATACCAAGAGATAATTTGCTTTACTTAAGTAATTGTCAGAATGAATTATTAATCAGTTTGAGAACTGAGGTGATGTGGGATTATTATTTAAGTTTACAGATGAGTTGATAAAAAATTTGAAATCCATTGCTTACTCGATGTTCGTATACCATATTTAGGCCAAATCTTGTTCCCGAAATTTAGGATTGAAAAGTTCAAGGGAAAATTAAACGATTGGACTGTGAAGCAGCAATAGGCAATAGATAATAATCGAAATTGTTCATATCTGTTGCGGGTAACTAAATCGAGAATTATATGAATAATATCTAAGACTAGACGCTCAAATACGAGAGCATCAACTTCTTTTACTTCATTGAAGACTAATACAAACAAGTCTTGACATTTCCTTGGAATGAAAATGCATCAACATTTACTGGTGAAGCTTAAAAAACGCGTATACAAAATAAATGTTGTTAGTAAGATAACATGACAGAGCTCACGCATGCCTCGATGCGAGGAAAGGTACAACTTTTAACGTTCGGCCCGCCTTCAGTATGCTCGGTGCGCTTCACCGGTTTTCTGGTGGGTTTTAGTGGCGATGTCTTCAAAACCCAATTTCGATCACTCCAATTTTCTGATAGCTGAACTGGTGAAAAATTTAGCTGATGCGCCAGCCAGCGCTCGTAATGAAGACGAGCAGGCAGTCCCGTGACCGGAATGCAACCTTCGAATGTGTGACGCTGGGGCATTTGGCGGAAATTCTGAATCTCATAAGCTGGATTCTTAAGTGAAACTTCATATTACAGCAAGGACGTTACATCGACGGTTCAAATATATGGAAGAGGAGTTTATGTATTTATGCTATGAACTTTTATAGTTAAAACAAAAACATATATACGCTGCTTAAAAAACATTATTTACCTTTATGATTGATTAAATAATGACAAATATCTGTTAATAAGAAGCCATTAAATGAAATAAAAGCACAGATCGCAGCTATTTGAATATTAATTATGAAGTAATAAATACCTTTGTATGAGGTTGGTAATTTAGTTCCATTAACCACGAGCATTCTTTAGGAGGCCTCGAATTTGCCGTACGCTGCTATTCCCTTTCTGGCCAGTAAATATTTTAATTTCGATCAAAGTCACTCACCAAACGCACAAATAATGCCTGAAAAACGTCATGTGCGTTAGTCTATAGCTCTTCTGCAGTGAGCTCCGCTATATGGTCCAAGAGCAGAGCCCAACTCTCACTCGCAATGAGTCCCCACACAAGCCACCGCCTCAACTAGAGTTGTTTGAAGTTGTGTGTGCAATTTTATCAAAATAAGCATCCAATTGGAATAGGGTTCTGAAAAATATTATTGTTTCAGATCAATAACAAATGTCAGTGATTCGAATAGGTTAGAGGTTAACGTAAACTTTGGTAGAGGTTAGTAAACTTTGGCAATCGGAAGCGAGGCAATTTCTAGGCAAAAATTACTTATATTGACTTCCTGCAACTGGTACGGAGCCGAAAACAGTTTTTTTTCCTCACAAGTTTCCTAAGCTTTAGCTTACAAGTTTCTCAGTCGATATTGATGAATTTCGAAGATCAAACCAGATTTTGAAGCTTATCATTTCCGAAAAAATGCGTTACATCTGTCCTACCATAAAGAAATACAATCATTTATCCAGGACCAGCATGTACGTGCTTAAGTTTCTAATACTTTGAACAATATTTAAATCACTCACCAACCACATCGAGGTAGCCAATTTGGCTGATTATTGGCTCTGTGTTCACTTGACACATATATTGGCCGCGGTCATCCTTATTAACGGACGTGATGTGTAACGTCCACACGTCGTCGCCGTCCTGCGTGACGCTGAAGCGCGGGATCCTCGTCACGACCGTCTCGTGGATCGTCAGCAGCATCTTCCTGTCCATGTGGAACCACGCAACCTGGCGTCCAGAATAATTCATAAATAATTCAGATCATCCCAGAATAATTTGACTTCGTAAGTACTTCAGCCCATGTTAAGAGAATTAGGTTTCTAGTCAAATTTGAAAGAGGAAAATTGAATTTAAATTATTGATCATGGGTTAACATGTTACATTCACAGGTTAAAAGTATGCACAAACTACTGGCGAGGGAGCTGTGCCTGCACTTGCAGTCACTAATTTACCCACCGGAATCCAGGATTTCCTTGAGAAACACATCAGTTACTTACTAGCGATCCAAAAAATCCATATAAAGAGCGATTGCATTCCCAGTTTATTGTTTGTTCGTAGTTCTAATAAAATTATAGTTCTAATAAAATTCAAAATCAATTATTAACATTATCCGGATTGCTTTCTTTAACTGGAACAGTTATAAAATGAACTTGCATTGAATGTTTCAAAAATAATATTGTTAGTCCTATTATTAGTCCAACTATATATTAGTCCAAAATAATATTATTAGTCCCACGAATTGATGCTGCGGAAAGTTTTACGAGAGCATCAGAAAAGTTTTTACTAGGGCATCACAAAGTTTTACCCACTTCTACTAATTTTTCCTTCCCATACACATTGCTTCTAAGTTCCACATGCCTCATGTAATCAACTCGGTCAATAATTGAACGTTATGTTGTGCTCTTGAGCGATGAAAATTACCGTACCTTGAACTTGGTGCTATTGAGGACCTTGCATGAGAGGCGCGCTGTCTTGCCCACCGCGGCTGTGAAATTCGCCACGGGCTCCCCGAAGCGTGGCGTTCCCGGCGCCGAGCTCGTGTAATCTGCACAATAAAAATCCTGGAGCTATGAACGGAAATTGGCAAAAAGGTTAGTAACGGGGACCAAAAATTCCTCCAAGTAATATTACAATCTTGTGACATGGGTGCTTTAATAGGTAACTTATAGAGGCATATATCCTCAAATTTAGAGACTTTAATCATTATGATTTAGGATTATAGGAGTAAATATTAAAATATGATATATAGTTATACATAAATAAGATGCCAGCACAAATGGGTGATTCATAAACATCAGAGCTTAGGAACAGTAGACATAAAAGTTGCCCCTTTAAAATCGTTTCAACAGTCAACACAAAACTCAATGTTTGTTGAAAGCTTACAGCTTCATCAGCGCAGTACATTCAACGATTTGTGGATTATGAACGAACTTATTGGACACATGTACTTTAATTATGTACATTAAACTTGCGTAAAGACAGGAGGGTACGGATAAGCGTAAAATTTGATGGAAAATGGACGCATAGCTAAACGATTTTGGAAAGAAACTGAAGTACCGATAGTATCAATGCGTACAGGAGAATTGATCCCACAGAAAGTATTACAAGAACATCAGAATAAATTGATCTTACAGAAGTTTTACATGAACATCAGAATAAATTGATCTTACAGATAGTTTTACGGGAACATCAGAATTGATTCTACAGGTAGTTTTACTAGCTCTGGATGACTGCACAGAAAACGAAAATGTATGAGCGCTCGTGAGCGCAATGCGTCAGTGGAGATGGACAGATGCTCGTCCTGCTCCACCGAGTATTGGAGTATTGGCTGGAGCGCCGCTATCTGAGCAGCGCTTCCCGGAGGTTCTGCGAGCCACGGTTTCGTTAATATTGAATTTTGATGGCACGCAGCATCTTTAATTTTGGATGCGCTCTCGCTCCCGTCTTGACGTCTCAGGCGACTCGTAGACGGAAAATTGCCAAGCTAATATTACTAAATTTCTACTTTTTCATCTCAGAGATGTGGCAGAATTTTAACAGAATCACTCGGGACAGGATTCGAACGAGGAAAATCAGATACGAATTTGGGGTCGAAATTTGATTCAATTTTGAAACTAAATGTATGTTTAATAAATGTTTGCGCAATATCAACATGTATGTATGATTTAAAAAATGTAACATTGGAAGAATATCTAATCTTAATTACGTCTCGGCGTAACATTATATTTTTTTGGTAGTGCACAAATAGGTGTACGTAATTTAACAATCGCGAATAACTATGTTCGTTAATTATGTTCATGCAATCTTCAATGCTTGAAACAACGGTATATTTTGCAGAATAAGTTAAATTAGAAGCTATCAAAATGAAGTTAGCGTGCAGCAGGACATCAATAGGTAATAAAATATCGGAGCGGAAAGTTCCCTCGTGCGAATTTTTTTCCACTGTTCAAAGTGTTAATGCGCACAAATATCAAGTGGTCCGTCTTATTTTTACAATTTTAGCGCATTTCTCATTTATGGAAAAATGCACTATTGTGCTCGCCATGTCCGTCTGTCCGTCCGTGACCACGTTTTCGTCGACGAGAAAATGCGCTCTCTGTCACTCACTGCAGTGCGTACTGAGTTATATTTTTTATTCGCATTCATGGCATCATGGAGAGTCCGTGGCCACTTTGCAGTGCAGACGTAGTATTCCTCTACTCGGAGTTGTCGGCAGGATATTTTATTAGATGAGGATCATTGGATCGAAAATTTGCAAACGTGACACTCTTCAAAACTTTGTTTCACTTGATCCCTAATTAATCATGTAAATGAATAATTACAGCCTGTGTACTAAGTTCAAAACATGCCCTTCTAATTCAAAGGACTTGGACTATTCAAATGACTATCTTCTGATTTATTTCATCACTTTTTAATTTTTTTGAGTGAACCAAGCAAGCAAATCACAGATGAAAATATCTGTTTGTATTTAGAATGTACACTAAGAAGGATTTTTTATGATATTATAACGATAAACTCCATAAACATAGGATGACAAGATAAACTTAAACCGTTGATCTTGCATGAATATTTATGATTCACTTCATGACGTTAGAGAAGCTCTTAGAGTCGAATTATGACCTGTCGGAGAAACCATGAGGTCGACTACCATCTCAAAACTTATGAATTTTCGAGGGACATCTAAAGCAGGGAACGTCAGTCTCCAGGTCCTCAAGAAGTGCACGCTTAACTTTACTAATCTGTTTTAAAAGAGTTCACGATGAGAGTCGGTGACTTCTAAATGGTTTCAGAATACCAAACGAGACTGACGCGCTATCAACGAGGCACATGAAAGGCAAGCCAACCACCGACTTTTATGGTTGATTTAAGACGGCCTAATGGAACCTCCACGACGCAGGCTGGCTGTACTGGTTCTAATCCCGTCTTTATATTACTTGAAAGATACATTTTATTACATAGAGTAATACTATCGTCATCAAACAGAATGTCATCAGACTTTTGTTACCTGCGTAAAACAAGATTACACTTCATTGATAGAGTCATGTTGAATTCATGAAGTGAAGATGTATTTTCACGATATCGGAGATAAAATTAGTGTAAGACCGATGTCCAAATCGATTTCCGCATGAGTTATCAGCTGCCATGCCGGTTTCAACCGGAAGAACGTACGGGTCAGCAAAAGTTATCCATAGATGAAAAAGTTTAGGTAAATTGGTCAGTTTCCACAACATCTTTTTGTAAAATGTGCTTCAGGAATTAACAAATACACATTTTTTCCTGCCATGCCATATTTGTAATACGATTCTAAATCAGTTCTCAAAGTCATCGAAATCTCTCGTATCTTCTCCGTAGATCATGTATTAGAAATCACATGGGCAGAGGCTGAAATTATTTATTTTCTCAAATCTTGGAGAGACAAGAAAAAAAGCACAAGCGTGGTACAAACTGCTCCAATCTAAGATGGAAGGTTTGGCCAAAATTGGCCGGAATAGTCGACCATTGTGTTCTTCTTATATTTTATTGCGGAAAGAATGTAGTGTTCACCATTCCTATCATTACCTTTTCATTGAAGACGGCAGGGAAAAAGTAAAAAATAGTGAGACACTCATTCATTGCTATTATGATAATTCATTTAGTAATCAATTCTTCATGCTAGTATCTTTTTTCTTCATGATGTAATGAAAACCAGAACGATAAAGTAGTAGTTTAAAAATGCTTTGTACCAAGATACCAGTACCTGCAAAATTCCTGACAAAACGTGTAGTAACTGATAGAAGTCGACACAATCAGATCATTAAATGTTCGGGATTTTCTTGTGACTCCCTACAATCAAAAGATGTACAGTTCTAAACAATCGCAAATCTATGAAAAATGTCTAACCGTTTCCTACAATCAGTTGCTGGTCTCACATGGAGAAGATGCATCAGAAATCTAATGCTTCATCGGAGCTGCTCAATCTAAAAATCATTTGCTTGATCTCCTAATTAGGTAGAATCACTCTTTCTAATTGGACCGTGTAATCTCGATGCAGGAAGGAACCGGCTAGGGAAGGACGCTCTCCATAACAACAAAACCCTAAATTTGACTATATTTCAATTCAGACAGTTGCACTATTTAATCGAATAAATAGTTTCTTGATTGTTATTTTTGGGATGGTATTAATGATTATGACAATTCTTTTCTGAAACTATAATTCAGAAAATTTGATTTGTTTTCGTACGGGCTGGAATAATTTTATTTTGCTAATTACAATAATTTTTACTTCTATTAAATTCTAACTAGACTGATTCTAATTCTTCTTCTTCTAATTCTCCATCAGTGGGAAATGTCAGACTTGATTTATTGCTAGTTATATTTATAATAAATTAATTCAACGTAGATATTTGCGACAGTATTCAATTAATTTCACATGAGGAAACACTTTAGAAATGTTAGGGTAATGTTAATTGCGTCAAATGATCCAAACGTTATATTATAAGTCAATTGAAAGATTTTTAGCAAGTTGAGCAGTTTACGGGGAATTTCGAGTACTTCAGTCTTGTGTTAAAGTATAGTTGAACGTTAGATTTTGAGTCTCTTTGGTATGGATGAAAAATAAGAATCAATTTACTAAACTATGGCCAATGTAAGGGCCTAAAGTTATATAAGGGCAAAAATATAGGCCCAAAGTCAACATAGCAGGGCTAAAATATATAGATATTGAATCATTTTTTCATGATCTATGGTATATTTCAATTTATTGAAATATGTCACAGAATTAATATTTAAATATACCATAATATATCAATGAAAAATCTTGACCTGATGAAAGTAGAAAAAGTGAGATTTGTTTTCCGACTTAGTTTGAAAAGTTTTTACATATGTTTTTCCGTCATATTTGTTTCTAAAAAATTACTCAATTTTCATGTAAAAATTTAAAATAAGATGACATAGACAAGAAAAATTAATGCTTCTCGAAGCTAACTATTTCTAATTAATATAGTTCTAGGATACCTTCTCAAATATTCAGTCTCGATTAAGCAAATAAATCAATCAAAGAAATAGTGAACTGATAGGAAAACAAAGGTGAGCTTGACAGCTTACGATAGCTTGATGAGGCTTGCGTGTGGAGTTTCCTCACATAGCCTTAACATTATTCATTGGTTCTTCTTGGTGCTTTAATTTCAGGATATCCTTCTTATTAATTATTTGTTCCTTCAATGTTTGTTTATTTCTCTCTATGTATCGGTTAATGCGGAGTAAAATTCATTGATACTCGTCCCAATTCTCAATGTGAAAAAATATTCGCGAATTGTAATATAATCATTCTTATATTGTACGCAAATTTTGCAACGTCTACTAAGGTTAATCTGAAAAATCCGAGTACTTGAACATTTTTAGATAACTCTACGGAATTCTTACCCCATGCTTGAGTAACTTTTGGTTGGATGTTGAATATATCCGATCATAAAATGTCTAATGATATAATAAGTAAGAAAAACAACGCAAGTGTTACATAATTTTAATCTAGGTTATTGAGAGAGTGCCTTGACTGCAGTGAACGCC